TTGGGGGGTATAATGTTGATCTTCGCCATGATTCCATTCAATTTAAGGACAATCTGATTTTTATACGATGACAGTGAAGTGGATCTGGAGTTGTTCAAGAATTCAAAAAATCTTTCAAAAAGACAATTCGCTTGACAAGGGTACGGCAAAGTCGATATTGCCTAGTGGTCTTTGATTATGACCTTGTGGTCATTTCAAAGTCATTTTGATCCTGAAGGCGAAAGAAAATGCGCACTAATGTGAGCTTTACTATTAAGAGGAGTTTTTTGTTTTGGTCTGTTTCTGGCATATCGAACCACAAACCGCTCTCGTATTACGTAACTTGAAAAGTGTCATATAGATTTTTTTGACGTGTAGCTGTATGTGTTGCCTAAATGTCATGACACTAGAGCTAAATGGTTTAGCGTCTATAGTCTAAGCTGCAAGTTCTGTACTATACGTATATATCGTTGTGTCATTCCTCATAAGGAATAAGCGCGGAATGGGCTAGTGACTAACTAGAACAAAAATTGACATTATACCGATCTTTTTGACAAAAAAAAACACGAATGCCTATGGTTTGGGCGCCAGAATTGCATCTGCAAAAATACTCATCAATTATTTGTTGCATAATCATCAGGTAAATCCTCGTAATTTTTATAAACTTGTTGATAAGTTGATACTTGGGTTTTTAAAACGTAAGTGAATTCCTTGTGTGGATGCCTTCTACTTTATCTAGACCAAAGTTTAGGTCTTGTGCCGTTGTTAAGCGCTGGGGCCTTAATACAGCACAAGCACCTCCGAGAAATAATAATTGGAGTATGGTGTCCGTTAATAAGAGCACCAGCTATTTTATAAAGGTCTCTTGGATTCGTGCTGCATTTGAATAGATCGATTTTCTGCGCACATTCACCATTTTTGCAAATAGGCAAACAATCCCCAAATTTCATATAATCGCTTTTGTCCCATGAAAACTTTTAGTCAGAGCGATGATACATACAGGTATATCACAGTGGATTCTTAGACGAATTAACTGGGACCCATTCTCCATACGTTCTGAGCGGGATCCTTTGAGGTATCTATGCTTGCTATATTTTCTTAGCGTGTATGCCTGTTATTTTTTTGTCAGCGATGTTTTTGTTGTATCTGCTTGTCCCTGTCACGATACGCTGTCGCTGTCGTTTGAGAAATATGTTTTTCGTGGATCAAATATTTGGGTGGAGTGTCTCTTAACGGACTTGCGAAGCTAGTTTTCAATATCCTAGAAGCAAAAGAGCCGCTGCGTCCGTCATTTCTTATTCTCAAAGCAATGTCATTTTTTTTTTGGAAAGGAAGTAGGTATCCAGTTCATATTCATTACATATTTGGGCCCCTGTAGAAGGAATAAGAAAAATCTTTGCTATGTCACTACAACTTCTAAAAATCTGTTGTATTTGGAAAAAATAGGTTTGAGTATTTGAGATAAAATTTTGAAAATACCGCCACCACAAATGATTTTTAAGCCGAATTTACGGTTTTATCTTGTGGAAATACAAAGGGATAGGAGAAAATCATAGGAGTATAACAAGATTCAAGAATGTCGAAGGAGGATCAATGATTTCCCAGAGGTGTCATAGTATTTCCCAGGAGATCCAAAAAACTTAACGAAGAGGCATTCTGTTTTTAAAAAGTGTTAATGCTCTCGACCTATACAGTGTTCAGGGAATTGCAAAATACACTCAGATGAGAAATAGCAACACATTAAATTTTGACCATTTTCGGAACGCCTTAACTTTTTTATCTTTAACTGCACGTTGATATTTTTCTGTGATATGTTCATTTGTTGGTTTTTATTTGCAGATTTAAATTCTCGATGAATGATAGTCACTGTTTGACTTGATGTGCAGAGTAAACCAAAATGATGCTTTATTACCCCAGCTTTGAGCCACTCTGTGGTGTGACTACATTTGCCAAACAGATCGCAATACTTTTCAGTATCAGGAACCAAATGTTGTGTACAATCCGTTTTCTATTCACGTCAATACGTAGTGTTTGAAGTATTTTACCACCAATTTCCCTTCGTCCTTTAATAACTTTTTTAATTCTAGTACGATTTCAAGAAATGTTCCCCAGACTCTACAGGAACCTATAGTCTTTGTGTATTAGGTTCAAACTTTTATATAGGTTCACATTTTTATAGGGCAGAAAATGAAAATCTTTGTCTTCATTTCAGAACGCGCTGTATAATAATTTCATGCTCTAACCTTTTGAAATAGAATTGCAGGGCAATAGCTGTGTATATCTTCCTATACTTTAATTTTGGGTGCATGAAGGTTTGAGTAAATATTATTCCTTTGGAGTAGAATGAATCTAACATATACTAAGTGACATATAAATCCGAACACCCAGTTTAAATGGTTTAATTTTAATAAAATTTTGTATAAGTACTTAATGAAGCAGAATAAGTAAATGATAAAAATTTCAAAATGATTGCATTGCTTTAAAGCCCTTTGACCTTTAATAATGTCTGGATGCACCCTGATGTGCTACGCATTCTCCAACGCGCCTAGGCATGCTTCTGATCAGGTGGTCAATGTCCTCCTTTGGTATCTCATTCCAGGCAACCACCAACTCCTCTCAAAGTGCTTCTAGAGTCTGAGGAGGACGATGCAAATTGAGCAATCTCCTATCCATCATATCCCACACGTGCTCAATTGGGGATAAGTCGGGAGATCTTGGTGGCCATGGTAACAATGTGACATCATTATGTTGAAAGAAGTCTATTGTGACTCTTGCAACATGTGGTCGGGCATTATCTTGTTGGAAAGTTGGATCTGCCAGGGTGTCAAGATAGGGTAAAAGATGGGGTTCTAGAACTTCGTGGATATAACGCTGCGCGTTCATGTTACCTCTGATGGAGATTAAAGGTGACCTGGAACCATAAGCTATAGCACCCCAAACCATAACTCCAACAGTGTGATGAACATGTCTTTCAACAAAAAACTGTGGATTCCTCCTTTCACCACGTCGCCTTGTAACCCTGGCACGACCATCGTGCATGCCTAAACAAAATCGAGACTCGTCACTAAAGACAATACTGTTCCATTCCTGATCCCAGAGTGACCGTTGTCTGCACCACTCAAGGCGATTACGTCGGTGTTCTCGAGTTAAAGGGAGGACCCAGTGTGGCCGGTATGAAAACAAGCCAAAACTTCTCATTCGTCGGTAAACACTTCGCATGCCAATAGGTCTTCCGTGTTCTGCAAACCATTCATTTGCAATGGACCTGGTAGTGGAGAAACGGTCCCTTAAGGCCAATAATCTTAGGCGGCGATCTTCACGGTCTGTTGTTCTACGGCGGCGTCCAGTGCCCCTTGCTCTTTGCGTACGGCCTTCTTGAAGCCATGCCTGACAACACCTAACCACAGTGTCTACACTTCTTTGCACTCTAACTGCAATTGCCCGAAAAGAAAGTCCAGCTTCCCGAAGTCCCGCTATACGGCCCCTATCAAACTCACTAAGTTGACGAAATCGTACAGGTCTCCGTACTCTAGGCATCGTAACCGATCGTAAAGTATGTCAAGAACCATAATCCGCCAACGTTGATTCTTTACTGCGGCTGAAATATTCATTTTTAGAGCGTTAGTGAATTAAAAAAAAGCAGTATAAAAACCGGAATGTCCAACTGATAAGGCTGAAAATTTTTTTACTTGTTATTTACAGTAAGATAAACACATTCACCAACTTTTGTTAAAATAAAACCATTTAAACTGGGTGTTCGGATTTATATGTCACTTAGTATATTTCACGATTTTTGATCAGTCTGCTACACTTTAGATACGCGCATTCCGGTCGTTCTCTTGTTAAATATTGCACTCTGGTAATTTTCCACTTACTGTATCTGACGTAGGCATATTCTACTTTATACAAAGCGCAAGAAATTAAAAAAATCTTGAATGTTCATTAAGCTTTCAATTAAGCAGCGTTAAGAGGGTTTTTGTTTTTGAAAATCCTTTTTAAAAATTAATGAGGTTATGGCTGATATTGAAATAAATGTTAGTTTGTCCATAAAAACTGGCAACAGGTTTTATCCATATTTTAGACTTCTTGCAATCATGGAACTCAAAAAATACTACAGAAAACGTTGTTTACCCGTTAAAAACCTGCTTGAAACAAGCATTAGCGTGCTTTCCCAAGGAAATAACGAAATATTTTACTTTTGTAGTTGGAAAAAACTTATGTTTTTCAATATGTACACGTTACTTTATTAATCGAATAATTTTTAAAATATTGGACGAAAGTTGATGAAAAAAAGACATATCGAAGACTTATTTTCTTCTTTTAAAGTAGGTTTTTTGCCATATGTTTTATGACCGCTCACAAAATATTAATTTACAGTGCTTTTTGGAAAGGTGTCTACTTATTCTTTGAGCGAGTTAGCAGAAGATAGCAAGTAAAATGCAGAGTGCAGGCTTAAAATGTTTGAAGCTAACATTTACGAGTTTCAAAACCCATAGACAAATGTCACACACATCGAAATTTAATCGTAAAGCAAGAAAAACATAAAGTCGATAGAGTATGTCTAGGTGTGTAGCTAGAATTAACATTTTAGACCTAGAATCCTACTTTCCTGAATGCTCCCATTCCGAAATATTTAGTCCGTCAGGACTAGGTGTGCGCCTAAAAATAGGCAACTTGGACCAACACGTGTTCAGTATTTTGTGTCGCCCTATACCACTGTAACAGGGCCTTTTTCAAAAGTTCCTTGTTAGAAACCGACTCTGTTGACGTTTAAGAATTCAAAGCGACGCCACGTCCTGAAGAGGGCGCTTTAGGGTACGAACATAGTGGAGCGACGAGGTTTCAGATTCAGATAGAGGCTAACCGCGCGGTTTGCCGCTATGTGAGTCAAAAACACAGGTTGAAACCTGTCGGGCCATAGTAGCGCGATAAGGCATGCGTCGAGTCTCTAGGAGGTTTCGAGCGACGAGTTTTAAATAGTTGCATTCAATTTTTGTCACGCGTTTTCAAGCGATTTAATAATGGATGTTGTGCAATTAATAAATAGTGTATATCACAGAAGGGCTATATGGGATCAGAGTCATCCAGATCATCGCAACCGATACGTGCTAGATAAGTTATGGGAGGAGGTAGCCAATGAATGCAATAATCAGTCGGGTAAGTAAATAATTGTATTTTATACACATTTCAACAGCTAGAACTTACATCTTGCGGTAAAATTTTAAGCTGTCTCGTAACTGATTGGAAAGAAATTAACATAGTTACAGAAAATGTCGCGAACTCTTTGACCTTCACCCAGTTGCCTTCCTCTAGGTAATTCAAACATCTGATCTCTAGGAACTGCATCAGTTACTAATGTTAAATGTCGTTGAAATCCCTCTCGGTCCAGTATTGTATTATGCAAAATGCATATCGCCTTAATGATATCATCCGCAGTCTTTTCAGTAGTCTCTATAGCTTTGGACAGAAGACGCCACTTCGCGTACATAATTCCAAAGGTGCACTCGATAGTTTTGCGTGCTCTGGACAATCTTTGGTTAAAATTTATATGTTCCAAAGAGCGGTTCCTTCGATTGTATGGTTTTAGCAAATTGGGCATTAGTGGATACGCTTCATCTGCAATAAATACGTAGGGAGCGCGGACATTTGTTCCTGGTAAACTATCTGGATTTGGCACATTTAGTTTGTTTTGGTGTATCCGTTTGTACAAATTGGAACTCTGAAACGTTCCCCCATCGCTCTGTTTGCCGTAACCTCCGACATCTATCACAAGCAATTTGTAATTTGCGTCGCAAACTCCTTGTAGGACGATAGAAAAATAATGCTTATAATTGAAGTACATGGATCCGGAATGTTGTGGTGCTATAACTTTGACGTGTTTGCCGTCAACAGCTCCGATGCAATTGGGGAAGTTCCATACTTTCATGAAGTCTGCACTTACATTTAAAAATGTTGCCGTAGTAGGTTCTGGCATGTGAAGTGGTTGCAGCATGTTCCATAATATTTTAATCATATGTTTTATAATGCTCGCAACAGTACTCCTGCCCATTCGAAAGGAAAATGCCAAGTGTCTAAAGGACGCTCCTGTTGCAAGATATCTGAAAATTTTTGTTTGTTGCAGTTAAGAAAGTTTCTGAGAAGTGGAAAAATCTACGTGATTATTTCAGAAAAGAACTGAAGAAAATACCTCTGCCCCGGTCTGGTGATCCAGGCGAAGAGGCTCTTAAAAAGAGCTCCTGGCCTCATTTCAAAAGTTTATTGTTTCTGAGAGACCAGTTTCTGCCGAGATCCAGTCATAGCAACCTGTTGGATCCCGACAATGACACACAAGTTTCGACACCCTCTACGCAGATGGATGAAAATGATGGTGACTATGACGAAGACGAAATGGACGAAACGCAGGGTGTAGAAACGCAGGAAACAGAACCCGACCACACAGAATCAGTCACTCCAATTCAAAGCACACCAAAAGAACCACGAACTATTCTAAAGAATAGGGCCCGAAAACGGTCAAATCAACTTGACGCTTTTCTTGAGATAGAGAAGAAAAAACTACAATATTTAGATGAGAAACGTGTCGCTGCAGACCGTGGCAGAGCCCTACCAGTCACAGATGACGATAAACTGTTTTTTGATAGCCTTTTGCCCCACGTGGTGAAAATTAGGCCTCATCGAAAACTTCAGTTCCGCAATGAAATTCAAAATTTGGTTCAGAAGTATGCCTATGAAGAGTACTCGAACAATCAGTCCACCATCAATGTCAGTCATTCTGTTAATCATAGCCCGACATATACATCTCAACCACAAACATCGTTTGCACATTCATCCCATTTGTTGCAGGGGTTTAATTACGCAGATCAGTAAACATTATAAGTTATTATAAGTTATCGTTCGTTGTGTTCAGAAGACAGAATATTATTTTGCGTTACCGTTTGTTTGTTTATGAATAATAAAAGTATTATCCTTAATACATAATATTCTCTTACCGAATTGTTACCACCAACATTTCTTCGGTTCCTATAGGCGCTTGATTAAAATTTGTCCATTTCTTGTTGATGCAGGGTGTAACTTGTTCTAATATATACTGAAAGGTGGCAAGTTCCATTCGAATGTAGTCAAATAGCCTGTCGGGATAATTTTTCAGTTCTAGAAATAAATGATGGAATTCCCCTAGGCGTTTCCGACTTTTATTTACGTCGTGCACACTACACTGCCGCACTCCAGTCATTAAAAGCACTTGCAGGTAAGTATTATTGAGAAGAATGTCATCGTCACTGTCGGAATACATATTTTTACGTCTATCTTCGACAAAACGCGACGCTCTACTATAACCATAGGTGCCTCTTGCCTCTACGCTCTAGACGCTACCAGATATCTGAATCTGAAACCTCGTCGCTCCACTATGTTCGTACCGTTAGGCTGTTGAAGGACGCAAGCAGTGCATCGCGAATCGCGACGCGGCGGCGTCTCGAGCACGGTCTCAGACGTCCTGACCGTTTGAGCACCTCCGCCTAATTTCCAGCCGCTGCAACCGACGTCAGATTTTTTTTTTCGTTCTTTCGGTCTTTTCACCACATCCCGGATGTACTCCGGTATATAACAGACCTCTCGACTTGGCTTAAGTCGATATTTCTAAGGCAAAATTAGGATTTAGAATCTCATCTACTGTTGAAAATGATAGATTCTAAGGTTACATAGCTTTTAGAAGGATTGCCGCTGGTTTTATAATATCGGTAAAGTTTAATTCTTTAAATCAACGACAAACAGCCAATAATGTGACCTGAAAGACAAGGAATATAGGTGAACAGCCATATCCTGAAGAATTTAATAAATATTGCGTAGGTATTATACAGGGTGGCCCATCCATGTGTGGACGGAATATTACTCATAAACAAATACATTTTGGGAAAATGTATTTATGTCGTGTTATACATGACATTTGAAGGCACATTTCTAAAATATTGGCAATTATACAGGGTGTCCCAATTTTGATATACATATCAAAGTTTTGATTTTTTAAATGGAATGCCTCAAATTTTATTGCATATTTAGATAAACCAATTCAAAAGAAGAAGATTGGTATGACATAGTATGGGGTCTGGGTAATTAGCTATTGAGATGTAAGGTGTTTTGTCCAGAAAAACCGTCCACTTCGGGAACCCCTCAATCAGCTATTTCGAAATTTGGAGTGCTGAATTTTGTATCAAAAAAAACTTACATACCTCGGCTTTTATCCTATTTGTTACTTTTTCGAATTTTCATTTTTGCTCATACAGAGTGGTCAAGAACGCAAATTGTAATTTTTCTCAAAAATTTCAAATGCATCACCCACAGTTATTTGTGCAAGTTTGGATTCAATTTTTTATAAGCTTGTCTCTGCTATGAGGTTTGATTCAGATAAAATTACTAGATTTTGATTTATTAAACTTTTAATAGAACAATACACCAAAATTAAGGAAAAAAATCACATCATCCATGGAAACAAGAGACAAACAGTGCGCTAGTTCGATATTGCCACTAATAGTACAGATTTGTCGTAAAAACTAATATCAATCAGAACAGTATAAAGCAGCTTCAAGCGTATTAGAGAAAAACAACCATAACAACAACATAAACAACTATCATTACTCAAGACCTAATCTACAAAAACTGCTCGAAAATATCTCCATCATATTGAATACACAGCCGTAGTCTTTGGATAAATGACCATTGCACATCCCTCAGCATGTGTTCCCTTATGTTCAGAAAAGCAACTTTAATCCTTTCCTTCATATTTTCGGGGGTAGATGGTGGATATCTATAAACCTTTTGCTTAATGTAACCCTACAGAACGAGATTCATCGGTGTCCTTATCTGGTGATCTAGGAGGCCAAGATATAGGCCCATCACGACCGATACAACGATTGTTACTCCAGGTGTCCAAATAGTTACGCACATGATTATGATGATGCGCAAGGTGCGCCGTCATGTTGGAATTTTGACGATTTGTAACTAATCAACAATTTATTTGTTCCCAAGGATGATGCGATATTTTAGGGAATTAAGCCGTTCCATAAAAGACATGCTAATAACCGAAAAAACCTTTATGTGACTAGTATCAAAAAAAAGCTTATAATAAATTGAATCCAAACTTGCTCAAATATAGAGGGTGATGCATTTGAAATTTTTGAGAAAAACTACAATTTGCGTTTTTGACCACCCTGTATGAGCAAAAATTAACAAATACGAGGTGTGTAAGTTGTTTTTATACAAAATTCAGCACTCCAAATTTCAAAATGAGAGGTTGCCGAAGTGGCGGGTTTTTCTAAACAAAACACCTTATATCTCATTAGATAATTACCAAAACTCCATAGTATGTTATATCAATCTTCTTCTTTTGAATGAGTTTATCCAAATATGCAATAAAATTTGAGGCATGTAGGTCGAAATTGGGATACCCTGTATAATGGCCAATATTTTAGAAATGTGCCCTCAAATGTCATGTATAATATCCCATAAATAGATTTTCCCAAAATGTATTTGTTTATGAGTAATATTCCATCCACACATGTATGGGCCACCCTGTATATTTGAGACTTGCCTCATAAAACTTTTTATTCCAACAGATATTCTTTCAATTTCAACTGTATCTTAAACCCTGTATTAACTTATATCGATGACAGCTATCAATGTTCCACGCTTCAAACAATCGTTAACATGATTGCCTTAATTACTTTTATTCTGTGTTTAACGCAAATTTGTTTACTATTTTGGTACGTATAGGCGCAGATAAGGTTTTTTGAAGGAGACAGATATCGGCGGCATGTTGGCCGAGAATGTAAGTAAAATAAGTAGAGTGTGGGCAGATTGAGTTTAAAAAAAAGGTCGGTGATTCTAGATCCTTTGATATGTGCTGCTAGTCTCGTTGCTGGAATTGCTACTACCAGCAGCAGTGGTGCCATCAACACTAGCACTGAGACTAGCACCACATATCGAAAGCGTACCATGTTTTACCACAGTCATTGAAACTCAAAAAGTCCATGCTCTACAAAATATATGCGCAATAAATGGACATTTCTTGTTGAACTATTTTATCAAGCAATTATGATTCTTTAGCTGCATGTTTTAAAGTATTTTTTAGCCTTAATATGAGATTTGGATTTTCATTTTGAATAACCTTTGCAGTTTATTGATTATAATAGAAGCCCGAAAAAGTATTCTGGGCTTGAACTATTTAAGTTTGAAACAGGGTTAATGGTATACCTATAACTTAAGAAAAAAAATCATACTACTCATATTCTTATTGCCTGTTATTCCTATAATTACGCTTAAATATTAATTTAACAGTTTACATGTTAGTTTTGCATGTAGACTTATTATTCCACCATATTCAATAATCGGCAATCGGTTGTAGGACCCACATCTTATTTGATTACCAGAGAGCAAAATACAGGTATATTTCTCCCACATAAGAGTGATTTTGCAGGATAGATATTTGTGTGTGTAGTACCATTTCTATACTATGCTCGATACTGTCTAGAGAAGGGAGGTCCGACTTATCGATGACTCTTCTCTAACAGACAGTATCGGGACTCTTTCGCATCGGCGGGCCGTCGGCGATCTAGCTGTTTTCTACCGCTACACCAACGGGCTTTGCACCTCAGAGCTCTCTTCCATGATGCCGCCACGCGATGTGCCTGCCAGATAGACCAGCCTGACTTTGGCGTCCCATCCTAACCGTGTCGAACTTCGAACATCCAGAACTGACCGAAACGACCGCTCCTTTGTTCCGAGGGTGTCGAGATTATGTAACAATCTACAAGAGGAAGCTTTTCCCAGTTCTACTAACCTTGGGCAGTTCAAAAATCGTATTAACAAAATTTCTTTGGGATCATCATAGCAGCCGCGGTGTTCCGGCATTTAGGCTTCTGCCTGCGCGGCTGCTTCGATATAAAAAAAATCTATGTGAACGGCCTTTACAAATATTTAGCGTATAATCAAATTACTGGCTCAATCACATAGATGAGGAGGATCGAATCAGTGGTTTTGTTAAGTATTATGTTAGAGATTTCAGACAAAGTGCATAGAGCATGAATGAGAAATCAGGTATCAAGGTACTGTTTTTGTATCGATTCATTAGAGTAGTCCCGGACATCAGTTGTTTATGCATTAAACGTCGATTACGCGGTATTATTCGAACGGAAAGTAATATAGTGACTAACTAAACTGTATCCATCGAGGAAACAAATTAAAATCAAACATATACACCCGTATTGCACGTGATCAAGAACTTAACCGTAGGAGACGCTACAGGGCCGTATCAAGCTATTGTGACTGATCTATCAAAAAATGTCGTACAAGATATGTGTTGCTGTAAATTCTATCAAAAGCATAGTAAATTATCAGGAATATACCACGCCTTTCTAATCATATTTCGACATTAGGAATCAGTGCAAAAAATTCTGTGTTAGGTGTATGTTATACCCACAACACGCTTGTACTATTGATGAAGCATTCTCGTTAAAAAAAAGCATGTTGTGCAAGTGGTTTTTGAAATAACCGATCCAATTAGGATAAAGCACAATATGTGTTTGATGATAACTATAGGTTTTTCTTGCCTCACCTTGTAGGTGTAAGCTGATACGATCCGGAGACTCACGCTCTGCCGGATATCCGGCGAAGTCTGCGGGGCACGACTCGACTTCCTAATTTGCTCATTTCACACTCAACTGACAGTTCCCGAGGTAATAAGGAATCGTCGGATGCCTTTTTACAGTTGCCCAATTGATCCGAACCGAAGCAAAACTCCGCACGGGAACTTGTTTAGCTTTCCAGGCAGATGTCAATTACCACCGACGCCTCGGCCGAAGATCGTTTTTGTTCGA